GAGAGAGAGAGGAGAGACAGACAGACCAGACCAGGGTGAGGAAACAGAGAGTTAGACAGAGACAGAAGCAGGAGACAGACAGAGAGCAGAGGCAAAGACAGACAGACAGACAGAGACAGAGAGAAAAAAGAAATAAAGAAAGAGAGAGAGAGAAATATAGGACTGGTCGGCCATCTCGTTTCGAAATCTTATCAAAGCGACGAATAATTACTCCGGGAATTTCTTGTAAGATCTCTGACGTCGACGCTTGAGAAGGTTTTGGGTCAACTGTTTAAATTTCCGTTTTTATCTACTTATGCGTTTCTGCTTCGTGGATATCTGTGTTTGATGGCTGCCTCGATATCGGTCTTTTCCTTCCCTCGCTCTCGTTCCTCTGTCTCTGTTCTCTCTGGTCTCGGGCTCTTTCTGTCTCGGGCTCTGTCTCTCTCTATCTCTCTGTGTTCTCTGTGTTCTCTGTCTTTCTCTCTCTCTCTCGCTCTCTCTCTGTTCTCTGGCTTTCTCTCTCTCTCTCTCTCTCTTCTCTCTCTCTCTCTCTCCTCTCTCTCTCTCTCTCTCTCTCTCTCTCTCTCTCTCTCTCTCTCTCTCTCTCTCTCTCTCTCTCATTCTTTTCCTCCTTACCCTCCTTGTCCGACTTTACTCCTCTCTCTCTCTCTCTCTCTCTCTCTCTCTTTCCTTCTCGCCTCTCCCTCTCCTTCTCTCCTTCCCTCCCTCCCTCTCTTCCTCTCTTCATCCTCTCCCCTCCATCAACCTCTCCTTCCTCTTCCCTTCTCTGTCCAATCATATCCTCTCTTTCCTTACTTACTTTCCCCGTCCTTTCTCTCTCTCTCCTTGCACAAATTCTGCAAATTCAAGGAGAAAAAGGAATTACTTCATCCATTTCCTGCAAGTCCACATATTGCAATAAGGACACATGGATTACTCATTAGCAACCTTCTCCTTCTTCCTATTCCTCTTTACTTCCCCCTTTCTTCCTACTCTATCTTCTCCTCTCTTCTTCCGCCTCTTTCTCTTCCTCCTCTTTCCTCCACTTTTCTTCTTCTTCTTCTTCTTCTTCTTCTATTCCTCTTTGTTTCTCCCTTTCTTCCTACTCTATCTTCTCCTCTCTTCTTCCGCCTCTTTCTCTTCCTCCTCTTTCCTCCACTTTTCTTCTTCTTCTTCCTATTCCTCTTTGTTTCTCCCTTTCTTCCTACTCTATCTTCTCCTCTCTTTTTCCGCCTCCTTCTCTTCCTCCTCTTCTTCTTCTTCTTCTTCCTCCTTCCTCTATTCCCTGTATCCACATTGCAATAAGGACACGTCGATCATTTATTAGCAACCCGAGAAGCAAGACATTCACTAGCCTTCCATAACGTTGAAGAATTTGCAACAATTTTGCTAGTGCGTCAATTTGTGTGACTTTGTTCTAGTATATATGTGGATATCTGCGTTGGATGAGGATGCTTGAAACGTATCCATGTTGACAAATGTAGAAAGGTATGAATGAGACTGGATATCTTCACAATACAAGAGATGTATTTGACCGGTTTCGATTACGTCTTCGTCAGAAATACAATGTATTTTTGACGAAGACGTAATCGAAACCGGTCAAATACATCTCTTGTATTGTGAAGATATCCAGTCTCATTCATACCTTATCTACATGATGATGCTTGTGACGATCATTAGGGCCGAAATATATATAATCTTAATTCACAGTGTAGAAACGTAGAAGTGGGTATACTGAGTTGGCATATATAGGCCTATGTGGATTTCAGTTGTGTATATTTGGTATAGTGATAGCATGTTGCGCGGTTGTATAGATCAGTCTATCAGTCTATCTTATCTAATAATTATCTATCTATTTATCTACCTATCAGCTTATCAGATCTATCTCATATAATCATCTATTTATTCTACCTATCACTTATCAATCTATCTATATAATCATCTATCTATCTATTCATCTGTCTATCTATCTATCAATATCTACTATTATCTATCAGTACCTATCTATATCTATCTATTATATCTATCTATATAATTATCTATCTATTTATCTACCTATCACTTATCAATCTATCTATATAATCATCTATCTATCTATTCATCTGTCTATCTATCTATCAATATCTATCTATCTATCTATCAGTATCTATCTATCAATATCTATCTATCTATCTATCTATATCTATCTATTTATCTATCTATCTATCTGTCTATCTTACCTATCCATCTATCTATTTATCTATCTATCTATCTGTCTATCTATCTAACCTAATCTATCATTCTATCTATTTATCTATCATCTATCTATCTGTCTATCTATTCTACCTATCCTTCTATCTATCTATCTGTCTATCTATCTCTACATTATCTATCTATTCTATCTGCTATATGATCTATCTATCTATCTGTCTATCTATCTATCCCTATCTATCTATCTATTTTATTCTATCTATCTTCTGTCTCTATCTATCTACCTATCTACCTAATTCATCATTATCTATTTATCTATCTATCTATCTATATACCTGTCTATCTATCCATACGCTTATTCAATACCATCTCCACATTTCTCTTCTTCATCTCACTTCCTTTCCTCCCTTCGTTTTCTTTCTTTTTGGAATCTCTTCCTCACTTCCCTCCCTAAATTAATCTCCCTAATCCCCCCCCCCCCTCATCACCTCATCCGTCTCCCTCATCTTTCACTCATATTTTCCTCATATTCTCTTGACTTCCTTCTAGTGTTCTCTTTCCCTCTCCCTTCTCCTCCCACTTCCCCTCTTCTCTATACCACCCTCATACCTCATGTTAACACCCCCCCTCCCTCCCTCCTCACTTCCCCCACTCTCCACCAATCTTTGTCTGTTCCATTATCCTTTTTCCCTAATCCTCCCTTCCTTACCACGTTCCCTTATCTTTCCCTTTTCCCTAATCCCCCTATTTTTCCCCTTACCATCTTCTGCCCTATTTCAATCTCCCTCAAATTCTCCCTTAATTCCCAATCCCTTCCAACATCACCCTCGCCCCCCCCCCCTCCAACACCGCCATTCTCCCTCCTATGTCCCCCCCTCTCCCCCCACCACACCAACCCTTATATGAATCACTTACGTCAATCTTCTACCCTCCATTCCCCCCCCCCCCAACAATCCCCCATTAAGCTCCCCCCCCCCCCCCTATACCTCATCCCCTCAATCGCTTTCCCATTCTACCCTCCCCTAAACTCCCCACCCCACTCCAACAATCCCCCCCCCTCTCCTTCAACGTCTGTTCTCCTCCTCCCCCCACACCCACACCCCACACCCTCAATCCCAACGCACCAAATCTTCTCATTCCAATCACTCGATATCCCTCCTCCCCCACCACCCCTCCCCACCCCCCCCACCCTCCGCCCTCATTAAAAAAAAAAAAAAAAAAAAAAAAAAAAAAAAAAAAAATCCACAACATCCCAAAATTCTCTCCCCTCCCCCCCACCCCCCCCCCAACGACCCCTCGAGGCGCCCCCGAACCCTCCTATACGACACCTGTGCGATATGATGTCGTGAGAGGGCTTCCGTTCGCTCGTCACGACCCTCTCGCGGGCACGATGGGCGCCCGGCTCTCTTACGCCCACCCCCACCCCCCACCCCCACCTCCCACGCCCACGCCCGCACCCCCCTCCGACCCCCGATCTCACCCGGCTTCCTATTCTGCGCCCCCTCCCCCCCCCTCCCTCCCCCCCCATTCTCGTCTATTACTTCTTCAATTTTCTCTCTCTTTATGTTCTGTGTTTTTTTTTTTTTGTTTCTTCTTCTCCTCCTTTGTGCTCTCCTTCTCTTCGTTCTGCCTTCCTTACTTCCTCTTCCTCTTTGTTTCCTCCTTTCTTCCTACTCTGTCTTCCCTCTTCTTCCGCCTCCTTCTCTTCCTCCTCTTCCCTCCACTTTCTCTTCTTCTTCTTCTTCCTCCACTTTTCCTTCTATCTTCTTCCTCCTTCCTCTGTACCCTATATCGTTCTTCCCTTCTTCTTCTATTCCTCCTCCTTCTATCTCTTTCTCCTCCTCCTCCTCTTCGCCCTCTGTACCTCTCTCCTCCTCCTCTCCTGTGCCTCCTCCTCTATATGTTCCCTCTCCTCCACTTTCTTGTGACTCCCTTTCTTTTCCTCCTTCACTTCCTTCTCCGCCTCCACCTCTCCTTCTCGACTTCTCCCTTTTTTTCCCTCCATTTTCCTTCTCCACTTTCCTTCCTCCTTTCCTTCTTCACTTTCCCCACCTCTCCTTCTCCACTTTTTCCCCCTTTCCTTCTCCATTTTCCTCTCCACTTTTTTCCTTCTCCACTTTTTTCCATTTCCTTCTCACTTTTTCCCCACCTCCTCCCTCCCTTCCTCTCGCTCCCGTC